GGGGGGGGTGGAACCGAGCGAGAACGCGGTGCTGCCCACCCCTCTTTGGGGTGCTCTGTAAGGAAAGGCCCGAGGTTCCCCCTGCACGGAGAGCAGCAGTCACATACAGCAGATGGGATCACCATCTTAGCCAGACGGGTCCGGTTTTGCAGGAGGATGACGTGGGGACGTTTCTCTTCCCGAGCTGGGCAGCACAGCTGCTGGGACGGGGCCAGGCGCGAGGCTCCAAGCGTCAGCCGAGATGGGGTTTCGGCCGCGATCCCATTTCACAGCCAGCTCTGCAGGGGCAGAGGGCAAACGCATCCCCCGCACAGCACCTGGGAACTAGATCTGGCACCCCAAAGAGAACACGGATGGTGCTAAACAGCACCCTGCTAACCTGCGGGAGAGAGCCACCGTCACTGCTGGTGCTGCTCTGCACCCAAGTGCTTAGAGAGCTTCCAGCAGCCAGGACAAACGACTTCAAGAAATAGCCTTGGCCCACATTTAGCTCAGTACACGGCATCAGCAGCCTGGGAACAGAAACAGCCAGAAGTGTCCTATACCAAATGCAGCAAGAACAGAGCAGAGAGCTGGCCGCCCGGCAGATGCTGCTGCGCTCTCTCCCCGTGCTGTGCAGGGGGTAGCTCGGGGCAGCGAACTAAACTTGTTTGTTGCCACCATCACCCATGGTGGCCAAACACTAAGAACAAAACAGATTTGGTCTTAAATTTTAACACAAAGGAATAATGAAAGCACTTCTCCTAAACCTAGGGCTCGCAGCCCCAACGTGAACCAAGAGCAACCAAACAGACAGAAGTTTCAGCAGTATTCCCCCCCCCAATTATATAACCAACTTCTTATCTTGCCCTTAACTCAAGCTGAAAACCAAAAAAGTTCCACCCTTGGCACCACAGCACTGTCAGAAGCAAGCACTCAGTACCAGGACAAGCTGCCACTAAGGTTAAAGAGGGTTGTGACAAAGTGAACCGCATCCCATGCTGATTTATTTAGAAATCCCATTACTTAGAAGAGGAGCAGGGAGCTCCCAGAGAACGAGGAGCAGGTCCACATCAAAGCCTGAGTGGTCACTGCCTTGCAGACATCAGGGAGAGCTCTCGGATCCAGCTCTACCATCATCCTGCCATGTTAGAACCAGAACAGCTTTCTCCCTAGCCAGCAGAGTGCCAAGCAGCAGTGTCTCCCTGCTGGCCTGCAGCAGGTTTCCCCAGGGGTGCGCAGAGGCTCTCTGTGGCTCTGGCAGGGGCTA